AGTACAAATGTGGACTTTTGTGAACCGAAAAATTGCAAGAAATACTTTCACAGAACTTGCAAAAGTTCCTCATGAAACGCTGCAGCAGAAATACATGAAATGCATGAAGCTAAAGGTACAAAACAGTTGCATAATATGTAGCTAAATACCTATAAAAATGGAATTATAATAATAGTTTGTTCATAATCTTAATTGCAGGTGATTCCTTCTAATGAAGCGATATTTAGTGTTTATGAAATGAACAAAAGTTTCATTGTTAACCTGGAGGAGAAGAAGTGCACTTGTAGGAAGTTTCAAATTGATGAGTTGCCATGTATTCATGCATTGGCAGTACTCAAAAAGATGAACCAAGAGCCATACAGGTTTTGTTCATCTTACTACTCAAAGGAGACAATGATGCAAACATATAGAGAGACTGTGCATCCAATTCCAGATCAGAGCACATGGCAAATGGATAGTGGTAATGCAGAAATGAAGATTTATCCACCACATGGAAGGAAAAATTCCGGAAGGCCGAAGAAACAGAGATATAAAGCACAATGGGAGAGTACACGTACAAATAAGTGTGGGAAGTGTGGGAAACAAGGGCACAATAGAAAGACATGTAGGAATGCACCACAAAAGTAGAAAGTTTATGTTGTTTACAATCTGTTTTCCAGTAGCTACTAATTCTATCTATTCAAAGACAATTATATTATGCACCAATACGATTACTCTGAATCCTATTTAAGTGGCTGTTTGTATTTGTTGGGGGTGGATACAATTGCAGAATTAAATAACATACAATGGAAACAATGAGAAACAATAAGAAACAAGAATAAACTAATTTTGAACGGAAAGTGAAACAACAAAATACAATAGAACAAGCAAATGTTAATTATAGAAACACAAAAAGACTAAATTGGGAATGATCTATAGGAACGGAACACAAAAAATGAATACACAACCACAAACAAGGGAAAAAATTAAAAATGTTGGCATATTTTATACATATAAAAAAAGAAACAAATGGAAACAGCAATAAATAAAGAAAAGAAACACAAATAAACAAGACGTATTAAAGTCGTATTACAAGTTATATTAAAGAGCAGTATCAGAACAGTTTAAAGGAAGAAACAAGTAGCAGCAGCTACTTAACATCTACAACATCTAACTAGATACTGTACAACAGCTTATCAAACAACAAGCAACAACAAAAGCAAAATGAGAGAAACAAATATTAATTTTTGAAACAAAATGCAAAAAAAAATAGTAACCTGTAGCACCAAGAATGCAACAACTTTTTACATAACATAAGGAAAGCTAAAACCTAAATAAATGGCATGTGATATAGAAAATGAAGAAACAAATATAAACAATATTAAACCATCGTCAGAAACATAAAGAAACCATCTAAATAAATGTAACAATAGGAGTTATATTCAAGAGTAGTATCAAAATAGTACAACAATAGCTTTTCAAAAGCACTACTTGAACATATTGTAGAATTAAATAACATACACTGGAAACAATGAGAACCAATAAGAAACAAGAGTAAACTAATTTTGAACGGAAAGTCAAACAAGCAAATGGGAATACTCTTTAGGAACACAAAAAAAGACTAAAATGGGAATAATCTTTAGGAACAGAACACAAAAATTGAATACACAACCACAAACAAGGGAAAAAATTAAAATTTTTAGCATATTCTATATATTAAAAAAGAAACAAATGAAAACAACAATAAATAAAGAAAAGAAAGACAAAGAAACAAGACGTATTAAAGTCATATTACAAGTTATATTATAGAGTAGTATCAGAACAGTTTAAAGGAAGAAACAAGTAGCAACATCTACTTAATATCTACAACATCTAACTAGATACAGTACAACAACTTATCAAACAACAAATAACAACAAAAGCAAAATGAGAGAAACAAATATTAATTTTTTTAAACAAAAGACAAATAAAAAAACAATAACCTGTAGCACCAAGAATGCAGCAACTGTTTACATAACATAAGGAAAGCTAAAAACTAAATAAATGGCATATGACATAAGAAATGAAGAAACAAATATAAACAATACTAAACGATCTCCAGAAACATAAAGAAACAATCTAAATAAATGTAACAATAGGAGTTATATTCAACATTAGTATCAAAACAGTACAACAATAGCTTTTCAAAAGCACTACTTGAACTTATGGTTTATATAAGGTACATCACAGTACATAAACTACATTAGTGCTTTCTACATATATATTTCACTTCTTCAGCTTCTTCCGTTTGGGTTTGCGTTGTTCAGAATCACTCTCCACTTCACCATTGAGCTTAGATATTGTCACGCCCCGGACCTACCCGGACACGTCAACAACCCGCCGTACAGTACGAATAGTCAACCGCAGTCCGACTCATCCATACTATACAAGGCGTCTTGAATACCATTCACACATAGTACATCCATAAACAAACATAATGTAAAACATTTATTAAAACAGCGGAAACAATTGATACAAGTGTTCAAGCCACACTTGGCATAATTAGGCATGCAAGCCCCCAAAGTAATTATTCAAAAAATATTATCCATGAGCATTATTCATATTGTTTTTCAAAACAAGAACGGGAGAAGCACGAACCAAGTCTTCTCCTCAGAAACTTCCCGAAGCAGCGGCTGGTGGTAGCAACCTTCAAGTTCTACCTAAAACTGTGAGGTGGCCTCCCCCGTGAAGGGGAGGTCAGTACTTGGAAGCATTTGACAAGTACAATGACAACTATACTAAGTATAATCAAAGTTTAAATCCTTGAGGCCCTCAAACTAGAGCATTATTACATTATAGTTAATCCGTTCATTTAATATCAATTCATCATTATTTACCACGGTCTAGAGCCCAGCTCATAATCACCGTTATCTACTACGGTCTAGAGCCCAGCTCATAATCACCGTCATCTACTACGGTCTAGAGCCCAGCTCATAATCACCGTCATCTACTACGGTCTAGAGCCCAGCTCATAATCACCGTCATCTACTACGGTCTAGAGCCCAGCTCATAATCACCGTTATCTACATCGGTCTTGAGCCCGGCTCATAATCACCGATTCCTTAAAATTCAAATTCTTAGGATCTAATTCATCCATTTCTCAACTAACATTTCCAACTAACATTTCAATGCTAGTTATTTATTTATTTCAATATAATTCTTTCTTCTTGCATCATTGGCCTTAATATCAAGTATCACTTTCATACCCTCATAGCTTCTCCTCATGGCATCAAAGTATACTATCTCAAATGATATTCATGGTTAGTACAACCATCATACACACGTATTCACAACATCTAAACATACACAATTTATTCATAAATTTGTGCATCATGCATACTATACTTATAATCAATAGTAGTTTCATTTAGGCATTATTAACCATTAACAACTCATACGCATCACATTTGTATTCACTTAGGAAATCCCATGAAATTAACCCAAAGATTATAGGTAACATAGTCGGTCATCCTCACCTTAATTAAGCTTAAGCGCGTTCTACGTTTCTCGATTGAACTTTGACCAACTCCGGCGAACTTTGACCAACTCCGGCGAAACTCCGGCGAAGCTCAAAAATACTTTAAATCAAGTTCCTAACAAGGTTTTATCATCACAAAACCCATATCAACATAAATAACCTATAAAAGGTTATTTTCCGGCAAACCGGTCGATTTGGCTTCTAAGTCCGTTTTTGGACTTAGCATCACATTCCAACCCATTATTCCACACTTAAATCATGTAGAACAATACTAAGGGTCTTTCATATGATATATATCTTATATGCTAGAAGAAAAACAAAGGAAAAGTTATGATAAGGTCATTACCTTAATTTTCACACTTTTTCCTAGCTTTTTCCTTCTTAAACCTTCTTCTTGGACTCCCTTGAGCTTGAGTTCGGATTTGGGGCTATGGAGATGAAGTTGTAGAGGTTCTTTCCTCCTTTCCCTTGCTGCTGGCCGAACTAGTGAGGAGGGGGATGGGTAGGAATGCCTCTTTGTCTCCTTTTGGGCAATGAGTGAAAGGGAGGAGGGCCACCATGATTTGTTTTGATGCCAAACATCTCAAATCAGTCCTCTCCCACCTCATATCTCTTACCAGCCTGCTAAGGCCCTGAATGATGAGGCTAAAATCGTGGGTTGGCCCCCACCCATGTGGGAGGTCAACCCTTTTTGTCCAGAAGTGTACAATCGGTCCCGAAAGTGGTATTTTTCCGGACTGTTTTAAGTATATTTTATTTTATCGGGTCAAATAAAATATAACACTTGTTCCCAATTCTTAATGGATCTTAGAATCAATATGCATCCCTCAACTTTAATTTACAAGTCTCCGAAATCCCTTTTCGGGCTGTTATCCGATAGATTGCCGATACTGATAATTTGGCCCCGTTTGACCAACCGGTCAACCCTATGTCATTGTCATGGCTCAACTAGGATATCCACCACCATATACATATTATCTAGTCCAAGATCAATATAATATGTGGCCCCGATAATATCGGGCGGTCCCCACTCCCGATGTGGACCCCACGTGCATTTTACTATTCACGCGAAAAAAATTAATACAAATTCACAACTTCGTAAATTCACTAAATATTTCATAGGGTTCAATAAATTATTAGCTCAAAGATAAATACATTTGGGGACGGTGTTACAGATATTCCATATTGATAGAGAAAGAATTACAACCTATATCTGTACAGCTCAATATCTAAAATTGGAGGAATTTTTTTGCCATAAATGAAATGCTCAGCAAAGGCAACAACACAAGCCCCACAGTCACTACAAAGAGTATAATCAGAATCAATACGTTTGTTATTACTACAATGATAAAAAGGATAAAAGAAAAACATTTGAATCAAATAAATGAACTTACGCTGATTCTTGAACAGGCAGGTCAGAAACATATTTCAAATCTAAGTCCCTATTTAGATCCAAACCACGACTAGAAAAGTAACCCATGTGTCGAAAAAACAAAGGGAGCATCACAGTATATGGTTTCACAACATGTATAGCATTACTTCTATCCCTTGAGCTGATCATTGAATTGTAAATATAAATACACCAATCATTGATGCAAAACCTGGAAAGGACCCAGTGCATTTGTTCCTTAAGGTAAACTAACATCAAAACATGCTCCACTTCATCCCAAGGCTTTGAACGGGGAAAGGTAAAGCCTACAATATAATCACATAGAAATGCAAATCTCGATCAAGAAAAAGATTTATCTAGAGTTGCAGCATATGATTGCTGTAGCTTAAGATTGAAAAGAGAATCCGTTGTTGTGAAACTGGTTTTGCATGTAGTAGTAACTTGAGCCTTTTTCCTAAAGTAATAAAAGATCACATCTATATGATGCACAAAAAGGAAAATATCAAAAAATAAATAAAGAAATACGAAGAAAACATAATAATATATTTGAAAACGTTAATAAACATACAGAATCTGATATCATCTGCCCCATATAATGAAGCTGGTGAAACCATGTCTTTGATTCGACAAAAGCAACATCAAAATTGAATCCAGGACTGAGATGATCAACTTTCGAAGGATACATCAAATTGGATCTACAAAAGGATAAAAAACATTAAAAAGCATAATATAATAAACTGTATAAAATATAATATGAATGTTAATGTTAAAACAACCTTTTGCGCTTATAAGTCCCTTCATCAATCCAAATATTAAATGATTCAAGAACTGAAGACAGTGGCACACAGTCTGCTTCATCAACAAAAGGGCATCCAATGGGGGTAACAAATGTCTTCAAAGATCCACCTCCAGAATCAAACTCACCAACAAAAGGGGATTTCAAAAAAACATTGGGCCTTACATTCCTTTTTTCTGAAGTGATTCCGGTGTATGAATTACTGACAAAGGTTGAATACTTGGGATATAAGGAACTAAATCCTTTATAGGATTTGAAGAACCTGAAGGAGGGTCATTGGTAGAAGACTGCAAAATAATGAAAAACAATATCAGAAGCAAGATAAGATAAGATATACAAGCAAAGCATAAAGAATAAAATGTATATAACTTGGATTTTTGAAAATCTGAAACAAGAGAATCAAGTTTAGCAAAAAAAGCATCATCCTCAAGAGGTTCATTAGAAACAGAATCTACTCTATGCTCACTTGATTGATTTTCAGTAGACATCATCTCAACAACAGTAGAATAAACATGCTTGTAGACATAGTCCAATATCAGAGCATCGTTTTCGGAACAAGTCAACTCACCAACAGTATAAAATACCAACTTCTCAACGTATTTCAACAACAAAGCATCATGTTCAAGAGACAACGTCTCAGTAACAACTGAAAAAACAGTATTCTGGAGAAAATCCAACAAGACAATATCATTCTCATCCGACATGAAATCAGTAACCGTAGAAAAAACAATATCATGCACATAATGCAATAACACATCACAATCATGTGAAGAAATTAGATCTGTAAAAGTATGAGACATGGAGTCTTGTGAATGACTAGTAATAACATCAGCATCATCTGCAATCTGATAAGAATAACAACAAAGAAGATTACAAATTTGAAAACAAAAAACAATAAGAAACATAAAGAAACAATATAAAAAGAGACAGATACATAACATGTTCATTATGTGAAAACTGGGCACTAGAGTGAGTATAATTGACTGGTTCATCTGCAATCTGATAAGAATAAAAACAAAACATGTTACCAAAATGAAAAAAGTGAAACAAAAAAATACAAAAGTAAAACATAAAGAAACAATATAAAAAGAGACAGAAACGTAACTGGTTCATGATCTGAAGCTTCCCCGCTGGAGTCAGTATAATTAAATGCTTGATCTAAATGAACAGAATCAAGATCAATAGTGCCAACAACATCATCATCAGAAAGATCCTTTGTATTAGCAGCACCACAAACATCATTTGAAATCAGTGGCTCATGTACAATAGGAGTGTGTTGAGAAACTGTCTCCTTGCTAGATTGAACATGATAAAATGAAGCAACACGGTCAAGCTTATGTTCTAACACATTAAACCTATTCTCAACAAACTTTTTGAAATTATTCAATTTACTGTCAAGGCGGTTTTCAAAATCGAATAGAACAGAGCTTGAAATCTGATCACCAAAAGAAGTACTAGGTCCGTGGTTAGAATTTGAAACAGAAGGCATAGTTTGGGTCCTTATCGGATGTGCAGCAAACAAAGAAGCTATTTCAACAGATTCCTTTTCAAGATCAGTAATAACAATGTTGTGCAATATCAACTGCCAAATAAAGAAAAAACAGAAAATAAATTTAATGAAAGAAAAAGATAATAGAAAAACAATAAAAAGATATGGAAGATAAAATTTTATGAATACCTGAGAAGCAGATAAACAAAGAAGCTCCATATTCAACTTCTTGTAACTGAATGCAACAGAAGATTGCCAAGACAATAAACAGGGAACTAAAGAACCAGATTTCAAAGCAAACACGCCATCACAATAATCACAGCACTCATAAAACCACACCTGAAGAGCTAATGGAAATCCCAAAATACGATAAAAGAAGTAATCACTTTCTGAAGTATCTTCCCTCACAAGTCTTCCTTTCAAATTTTGCAAAGTCAATTCAAAAAGGTCCTTACCCCAGGGATAGGGATCCCATAGACCAGAATTCACAACATCCAGATGAGTCTCACTAATATATTTTTCCTTAGACGAAGTAAAGAAGAACAAACCAAGAACATAAAGAATGGCAAGTTTAACAGCATCTTCATCACAATCAGCATTTTGACCAAGAAAACAATTTGAAATTTCTTCACGAATCACTTTAGAAGAATTGTTGATTTTTTTTTTGATGAGGTCATTACTTTCGGAAGAAGTAAGAGTAGAACAATCAAATTTACCAACACGTTTCAAACCAATAACAACTGCAAACTCAACAATTGAAAATCGCAAACGATAACCAGAAACATCAAACCACATCTCATTCGGAATATTGTGACTAATTTCTCGAAGAAGCAAACAATGCACAAGTTGAGGCTGAAATTTCAGGTCTTTGAAATCAAGGAATTTACCAAAGCAAGTTTGCCTAAATAAACTCAACTGAACTTCAGACAATTTGGACTTCAGATTATCAGGAATGCAATCCTTGTTATAGCTACAAACCATACTGTTAAACCATGACTGACAAGGAACAAAATACCCCCACTCCTGGAGTACAACAATGAAAAAACGAAATAAAAAAAAAACAAATCGAAACAAATGAAACAAGAAATTTTATGTGAAAAAATACAACAATAATAAAAAATAAACAAAAAATGTAAATAATTACTTTAAATGACGGAGGATTAATGTTACTTTTCGCCTGATTCGAGGAGATCTTCGACTTCTTACAGTGCACACTTGCAGAGACTTTAGGCTTCTTCCGAGCCTTCAGAGGTTTTTTATTTTTTCGCTTCTTACCAGTGACATTTGCACTTGAAGTACGAGACGGTGAAGCGGAATCATCCTGAGGACCAGAAGTTGTTCCACCAATATTCATCGCAAAGAAGCTCTCGTAATACAACGAGGAGTATTAGAACTTGACATTGTTGAGGAAAAAGGAATAACAGAGTTCACAGACAAAGTTGAAAGAACAAAAGAGACGGAGAAGACGAACTAAAGATGAAGATACGAAGCAGATGAAATGCGAAGTTGGAAGACGGGAAGCAAGAGAAACGAAAACGGGAAAGAGGTTCAATATGGTGCGAATTTCATAGAACGTGGAGGGCGGTTGTCAGAAACGGTCTAAAGGTGAAATAAAAAAATAAAATTGAAATTGTAAAAGTCTAATAATGGAAAGGCAAAAGAGTTGAGACATAAATGAAAGACAGCTCTAAAAAAGGTACCAAACTGGTAATTAACGCATTTTTTAGACGGGGGATGCGGGAGTGAAGCCCAACCCCGACCCGGCCCCATTGCCATCGGTAAGCAACTTCGTGTATATTTGTGCTCTGCAACTAGGGGACTAGTTGCGTCTAAGCTCTAACATGGCGAGGCGACTGTCTTCTCCGATCATTTCACCTCTCTTTTCCGTATTCATCTCCCGAGGGGATACTCGATTATACCTTATCGCGGCAATCTACGTAGTGTCCGTCCTCCTCCATCACCTCTCCCTCGCTTCCGCCTCTCATCACCGCCACTTTGAGGGATTTGATGCTGACGAATCTGATGAGTTCTTCGATCAGAACGACGCTTCCATATCCGAGATTGATCTTTCTCCTCCACCTACCACTACTCTCTCAGTCTCTGACCCCGTTGAATCTCACGATGGTCCTCCCATACCACAGCCTGACATTGTAGCTACCTCTCAGTCGTCCGACCAGAAACCCTCATCGACATCCTTTGATTACTGGGATGAGGATGAGTTTGAAGGAATTCCACAGAATTTACACTCTGAATCTCCGTCTGAAACTTCTCCTTCTTCTGATTCAGATCCGAATTTGAAAGTCGTTACTGAAGCGGAGGCTCCCGTCAACAAAAGCCCCAAGTCCTTGTCGTCATACACAGTGGAGGCTGTGTGTGTTTCTTTTCTGGTTGTATTTGTTATCAACTATTTCACAGGAAAGAGAGAAAACGAGAACATTGCACTTGCCTGGGCAACTAAATTCGCGACAAAGGATTCTATATTTGAGAAGAACTTCAGTTTACTAGGAGTTGGAGAAACAGAAGACTCCCCTTTGTTGCTGAAAGAAGGGCAGAACGTTTTCAAGTTCTACGCCAGTGGGCGGAGATATTGTCAGGGACTATTGGCTACTATGGAGCTTAAAAGCAGACATGATTTGATCTCCAGGCTGTATAACATGGTGGTCCCTTGCAAAGATGAGATAACTTTGGAGGTGTATATGAATGATGATGCCATGGATGCGGTGGTTTTTGCTGTGGCAAGGAAGAAATTGGCCAAAACCATGCAGAAAGAGGTAAGAGATTTACAGAGATTTGCTGGAGTTATAACACCTCCTGGTGGGAGGAAGTGGCTCGTGGAGGAGCTGGCCGTGGTTTCTGAGTCTAAGGAGGTTGCTGGTGATATGATTCCAGAGGTCGTTCTTGAGCAGGTATGTTTAACTGTATCTATGTGTCTTTTAATGTCTTGAATACTCTTTGTTTAGGCTTGGAAATTTTAGTATATATCCGCTTGTCCTGTGTGTAGAATCTGTACCAGTTTAAATACTTGCTGAATGTCTTATTAATTGTTTTGCTGCTTAAAAACCGTTTTGTGATCAAATGATCACTAACCTGGTAACTAGCATCTTCTGTTGGTGGTTAGAAAAGTACGATGTGAAGTACTCCTGCAAATAATTTGCAACTCATGTGTTATGCACCAATAGTTGGTGGAGTAGTGGAGATTGATTTAGTAGATCATTGTACAGGTTTATGGTAAAAGATAAAGAGTGTATAGTAAGTGTTTGAAATTGCTGAAACTGCCGAATTTTATAAAAGGGAAAGTGCATGATAGTAGAATCGTTTCAGCCCATTCACTAAATGAGTCAAAAGCTACTCAGGGCTACCAAACAGAGCCGCAAATGTATTGTGATACTTAAGCCTGTTATAAATTAGAAAAAGTAGATGCTTAGGAGTATTACAGTCTCATATTTAAAGTGCGAGAAAGTCAATACCCAGTAGATGATTATAGTTAGACTCTTAAATTTGATCATGATTAGTGTTCTGGAGAAGATAACACTCCATTAACTACTATAATTGATTACTAATGTCCTTTTATTGTGCCCTCGTCATGCAGGTATTTGGCGAAAAGGCATTTGAGAAATTTGGAAAGGGATTCATCTCAATGCACTTCTCAGATCAACACATAGGCTCACACAAAAAGATGTTGGTTTTCAAGTTTGCGCTCTCCAATGCTACTGACATGTCTGACATGACCCGCCTGATCGCCCTTGTCCCTTATTACATTGACTTGATAGGAAAATACAAGCTCAGCTCACATGTAAGATTTATATCAGAGCTTTTGAAACTCCAAATAGCAAATATTAGTGCTCATTTGTATGTTTTATCTGGCTGAAATTGCGGGATTTTGTAAATGGAAAAGCATTCAGTAAAAACCATTTCAGCCAAGTCAAAAGCTATGTATTTTGCGGAGTAGCAAAATAAGAGAGTATGAATACCAATCAGAACCTTACTATTATATTTTTTGTATCACTGTTACAATCTGCTTTTAATATATATGGAAATTAAATCAGGCTCGTTCAAAAGCGGATGCGGCACGTCTCAAGGTAGCGCAAGAGTTTTACAAGGAACTTCAAAATGCAAGGCAAGAAGCTTTGCTGAGGAAGAAGGCTGAGCAGAAAAAGAAGTTGGAAGAGGGGGAAGCTAAGCTAAGTGCTGAGGCTCTTCGCAGGAAAGAGGCGAAAGACCGCGCCCGTCAATTGAAGAAGGGCATGCCTAAAATGAAGATGACCCGTGCTCATTAGTTTGTAGTGGATCCATTTGGAGTTGAGTGTGTTCTACACGAGTGATTTTAAGCCAAACTGTCTTCAATGATTTTGTACCTTCTTTATTTGTTACAGGCAGTCTTAAGAGTGTTGATTAGACTTGTTTTGTTAGTCTCCTCTTTCTGTTAGAAATAATTACGCACTAGGCTCGATCTGTTAACAGCACCCCTTTCTTTTTTAGTTGTTCAGGAAATTTGACAAATATAGAAGGAAAAAACGCAGACATATGCAGCTGGATAATGTGCTGTGCTGTGTGAGTGTGTTTGGATATATCAGTTTGCTTTCAGTTTTAATGTTCAGCTTGTGCAAAGCTAAATCCAAAACAGGTTTTAGCAACAACTTCATTGTTATTGACATTTTATTTTATTCACTGCTCAATCACTACTCAGAGACTGAGAGTATTGGATCAACTTAGAGTAGGGATGGTCACTTGTTAATTCTAAATCTGAATCATGTATGTTTTTTGGACTAAATTTTTCTGGTCTAGTTTGTCCAAGTTTCTACTATAGTCTAATTTTGATCTATTTTAGTCTGATTTGATCTTGGTTATTCTGATCTGACAATAGTAATAATCAAATCAAAAATAACCTAGATACCATAACCGAAAATATTGTCTACTTAAAGTTCTGATCTGGTCCTACCCAGTTTCTTACTTTCTTAATTAGTCAATTAAAAAGCAGCACTGTTGTACTTGTATCGACCCATCTGGTTCCATATTGAAGGAACCATGGGGCATCATAACCGATTAACCGGTAGTACTGGTCCAAGCATGTTCAGAATAGCTACAAAAAGATACATATAAATGTCATTAAAATCAAGGAAATCGTCTCTTTCAAACTTCTTTATTTTATTTTGGAACATTGGATCATAACTAATATTTTAAGCTTTTAATACCAGTTTCTTACAAACTTATATATGTGCCAGATGCATTCATAAATACATAAAGGCTTCTGGTTTCCATATATGCACCAAGGAGAATAGTTCAAAACAGATAGTGATGCAAGGGGCGGTTTTACTGCAGAGGGTTTGGCCGCTCCTTCAAAGCAGCATCAACCTCTCAGGGAGATTCAACCATGTTATTTTCTGAGCGAAAAGAGGTTTCTTAACCTTTTACCATGCAACAGCTGGAGTGGAGCAGCCAGAACGGGTAGAGTTGTGACCATCGCAACATAGGCAAGAATCAAACCGAAACAGTGTTCCGCATTGATACCTGATTTAAGCATTTCCAAACTGGAACCGCCATTTACAGTGTCATTTGCATTGGGTTCAGCAAACTCGGTAGTGGTATTCACACATTTGCTTCTTTCTGGTGGCATGACTTTGTGATCACACTGTAAAGATAGTTAACCTTGTGTGTCCTGTTCTCTGAACAAGTGCTCAGTCAGCTGCCCTCCTACATCACTTCCTGGTGGCAGCTCATCAGCAACTGCAGTCACCATTCCATCATCTATCAAGCTCACAAAAGGAGCTTGATCAATTGAAGCATCTTGTGTGCCTACAAATATCAATTAATCATCAATGACAGTTAATTATATGGCAATTTAAAGGACGGCTGAAGCATGATAGTCAATTAACTATGTGTCTGTGTGGTGATGCATTTAGTATTTCATATAGACAGTATTAAAATACACATAGATATAGAGTCTAACCTTGAATATCTGATATACCATTGGGAGTTAGACTTCAGATCTAACCTTGAATATCTTTCCCTACCGTAAAATTTTGACCTGTAGTAGGTCAAATAAGAATTTTAATATTGCGTCCTACTTTCTGCAAATTTTACTCCAAATTTTATAGTGTCATAAATGCGTGAGTGTGTACTGACAAAATAGGACGCAAACCCGTTTATGAGAAGTATTTTGGGGCACACCCGTTTTCATTGGAAAACATCTTCAAAGAAAGTAGCATCACGAAGTTCTACAATAGTATTGACATCTATGCCAGAAATTTCAGATTTAATAACCAAAAATCTCAATGCATAAGAATGTTTAACATAAACAATAAAAATAGCATCAACAGTTTTAGGCCCAAGTTTGTTTCTTTTGTGTTCAGGGACTAAAACTTTTGCAAGACAGCCCCACACTTTAAAATATTTCAAACTTGGTTTTGTGCCCGTCAAAAGTTCAAATGGACACTTATCTTTATGTTTCATGAAAATTCTATTCAGCATATGGCATGCAGTATTCAAGGCTTCCCCCACATAAACTTAGGTAATCCAGAATTCTCTAATAAACTATTAATCATATCTTTAAAAGTTCTATTTTTCCGTTCAGATACTCCATTTGATTGTGGTGAATAAGGAGGTGTTTCTTCATGGACTATACCATACTTTTGGCATTCTAGTACAACTAAATTAGAAGTATATTTTCATCCACTATCAAATCTTAACCTTTTAATTTTCTTGTCAGTTTGATTCTCTATTTCATTCTTAATAATTAAGAATTTTTCAAAAGATTCATCTTTACCCTTAAGTAGATACACATAGCAGTATTTAGAATAATCTTCAATGAAAGTGATAAAATATTTCTTTTGGTCACGGGTAAGCACTCCATTAAACTCACTCATAGATTATATTCCAGAGAGAGGTGAGAGCTAGAGAGAGAAGTGCAAGTAAATGCTTCAATAAATGATTTTCCAACTCCTACAACTACCTCCAGAGGAAGTATTTATAGGAAAAATACGGGCTGGGCTCCCAAGCCTTGGGCTTGGGAGGCCCATTTACAACTGGACCGCTATTGGGCCGAATACAAAGTAAATGATGGAGTATACAAAATGAGTAAGTGTAAAATCTGGTTCTAGGAGTCCTTTGTGGCCGACGAGGGTCTGGCCGACGAGTGCATGGCCGACGAAGACCGGCCGACGAGGTCACCCGATTCTTCTGGCTTCCGGATCATGTTCTGGGTTGACTTCGTTCCGGCCGATGAGGGTCACCTGGCCGATGAGGGTCCCACTGGGTGACAGTTGTGCCTTCTGTTCTCCTGAGTATGTGGTTCCTGGGGCCTAGACCCATATACTCCATCAGGAGTCTCCCACTCTCTAAGCTGAGATGTAGACGAAGTGAAGGAGAGTAGATTCATGTTCTTTTTATGCTTGGCCGTTGCGTGTCCCCTATTGTGGACGGGAGAGATCTTAGCCACGCGGACGGTACATGTTCCTTGCTCTCCAGGACGATGAATACCCTTGCTTGATGGGGGCGGTGAAGGTCCGCAGTTGTGAATGGCCGATATGTGTCTTTGGCATGAGTGGCCGATGAGGACATTCTTACCCTTTCACGATCTTGGGTGGTTGATTTTTTTTGGGGCCGAGGAGGCCACTGCGGTTGCGTCTTGCTTGAGGACGATGAGCGTCCTTTGCCTTGAGTGGCCGTCGAGGGCGCTGTTCACTCCTTCTGTCCGTTGTTGATTGAATTTCGTACTTTTGGCCGAGGAGGCCATTGTGGCTCTCTTGTTGGAGGGCGATGAGCATCCTTTGCCTTGAGTGGTCGTTGAGGGCACTATTCACTCCTTCTGGCCGTTGTTGATCCGTGCCCTTAGCCGAGGCATGTGTGGTGGTTAGTTGCCCAAGGTCTTGGGGACGATGAGCGTGTTGCGCTCTTGCCCTGGCCGATATAATCACGTTTGTAGTTGTGTACTTGTGTATTTTTGACTCTTTCCATTTTTGCGTTTTGAGGCCGGTGTAGTCCCCCACTGCTTCAGGCCGAAGAGTGAGTGAGGGGTGAAGGAGTAGTGTGAGACCCAGGCCGACGCGGGATCCTCATGCTGGCCTTGAATCCAACCCTTTGGCGATTTCCTGACCAAGGTAACCCTGTGAGAGAACCCTTGGACGCAGGTCGCTTTCAAAGGGTCATCATCAAGGGTTTTTGTGCGAGGGCCGATGGCCGTTAGGTTCCCTTCCCTTTTATTGTCGTGGCCGCTGTAAGGCCTCTCTTTACATAATATGTATGGCCGCTTAAATGGTCGATACGGGTGCTGCCTGGGTAGCCGTAGCCTGTGTTGGCCGTTGAATGCCTTGGCCGCTGTGGGTGCTATTTTCCCATTCCTCGCTCCGTAGAGCCTGCTTTGCTGGTGGGCTGTTGATCTGTGGCCCATTTACGGAGTGGTGGCATCCCATTGGTGGCTGTTGGCGTGGCCACTAGGGAGATGCCACGTGTAGTGACCGTTGGGGGGGGGGGTTATAAATACCCCTCCCATTCCGAAGAAAGTCCTCATTTGCGATCTGAGCTACCGAAGTGCTGCCCAAATTTCTAGAGAGATAAAGTCCTTGCAAGTGCTCTTCATGTTCTTCAAAGCTTCAAAGGTTAGTTCATCGAATTTTCCTCTGTACTTTGCCTACTTTGCTTCCTATGCCTGTGATCTAGTGTTAGGCAGAAAACACCTTTAGATCTGAAGTAGGTCCCGTTAGGGCCGTAATAGTGTTATGATGAAGAACTTAAACGAAGAGTACTACCCCTACGATGATAAGCCTTCCGCCAAGTCCCTTGATTACGAAGTGGTCGAAGAGTTCTGCGAAGAGCTTGAAAATCTGAGCTTGTTCAAATCGGGGGAGCAGGACGATGAGGACTATGAGGACGAGGAGTCTGCCTCATCATCTGGAGGTGGGGATGTAGGAGTCTCCCGAACCGCGGACGGGGCGTCCACGTCGGCTGCCATTCCATGCCCGAAGCCAGTGTCTGCCGTCAAAGGTGTCGCGGTGCCGAAAAGGGTGAGGAGGCCGAAGAAGGGGCCGGCCTTTTCTTATCTAGATCTCGCCAACATTTACATCATCAGGTCGCAGAGTAACACGGGTGAATACTTGGTCGCGCAGATGTACGTGGGCCCGTTTGGTAGGGTTAGGGCCCCCAGGCCGACGAACCATGTTCTCAATCTACCCCCGGGATACTTTGGAGTGTACCCGATGAGTTTCGCCAAAGGACTTCGGTTCCCGCTTCACCCGTTCATCACCGAGTACCTAGACATGGTAGGGCTCCCTCCGGCCTTGTTGACGCCGAACAGCTACTCGCTCATCGTTGGGTTCCTCTTATGTTACGCGGAGTTGGATTTCCAGCCGACGACGGCGCTGTTCATGAACCTCTATCAGATAGGCCGTGGAAGTCATCAGAACTGCGCTTGCTATGCCACTCTCCAACAACTGCCGAAGAAGAGAAGCTTCACTGACTTGCCGTCGTCCATCCACAGTTGGAAGAGTAAGTTTGTTTTCGTTTCGTTGGGTGAAGGGGGCGGTGAATTTCCCTCCGTCGGCCACAGTGGGCGATTCAATCTTCACGACACGCCGAAGAGGTCCATCTTGGAGCTCAGGTGGAA